ATTCCTCATCAACGCTTGTAGATTGGCATTCATGAAAACGGAAAAAACAAAGCGAATTATGAAGCATAACGGATATGCAATACTAGATGGTTCGTAGATAATATAGAACAGGCCAAATCACAAACGTTTGGAGCATGCCTAAAATAAAAAGGATTTTAAGCTTGCTAATCTTGAAAATATATAATATTACCATTCGGCACATATGCTAGGTTATAATACATAGTCATTCTTATTCATTATTAAATAAAGAGTTTAACAAAATTTGATGGAGCATGTTCCCAATTTAATTTGACCTCTATACATCAGAAAGATTTCCCCTTTAAATGAATACAATAAATCCTGGAATAGCTAGTGAATGCGAGCCACACGCGAACATCTTTATGAACTTTTTTCTTTTTCTAATTAGCGAGAAAATCCATTTCTTGTTTATCAAAACATGACGATTAAATATTTTTTTTATTTCCTTTAAATGACTTATTTATCGTTTAGGTTAGTTTTGGATCAGCAGACTGGGGTAAAGTTTGAAGATAGTGATTCCTAAGGTCTTTTATTTTAAATGATAAGACTTAATAAAAAGCTCGAGATATAAATAAGTAGCATTCGTTTTGAGGTCGAATCATATGTACGACAATGGATATAATGAAAGGAGAAGTGCGAGCATCATGGAGAATACAAAATACAATTGAGAATAAAATAAAAGGAACATAGGGAAATCACAGATATCGAAGTAGTGGCAACAAGATTACAGTCCTGAGAAGAATAGATGGGAAGTTAGACAAAAGTTTAAAAAGAAAGCTAAGAAAGAAGCAAAAGTACGCTTCTAATTGATGTCGAAGTCGTAGAGGATAACTGTTTTATCGTAAGAGCCAGAGACGACAGTTGATTCACTGATTGCAACACAAGTAACTCCGTCGTTGTGACCGAAAAGTGCCCCGATTTGCTCATTGGTTTCTGTCGACCAAATCTGAAATAAAAAAGTTACCAATACCTAGGGGTATTATAAAAAATTCTAGATAATTAGTTCTGTAAGGCAGAGACCGA